ATGGCTGGTCAGCCCCCCCAAGCATCTACAACTATTCAAAACAATACTACTCCAATACACAAGCCTTTAGACTACTCGATCCTTTTGAAACCAACTGTGATTAATGCAGCAACTCATGGAAAATCGTCAAAACAATGTCATGTTGATCCTATCCCAGAGCGACAAGCAACAATCTTGAATGGGCAACCATTTGTTAGATTTACGGAGGCAGAAGTTGAGAGAATGAACGTGATCGAGGATCTCCAATATGCTGTGGTGGGAAAGTTTGCATATGGCTGGTCAGATTTAAATGATATTCGGCGCATTGTTCCCTCTCAATGTGGATTAAAGGGAGAACGTAGTATTGGTTTGTTGAGAGACAGACACATCCTTATACGTATGACCTTGTGGCAGGATTTTGTTGATTTTACGTCGAAAGGAGATCAATACGTCAAGGACAAGAACAACAATGAATACCAAATTCGACCTCTCATTTATGATGTGAAGTTTAAGGTAGGAGAAGAGACTCCAATGGCTATGGCTTGGATATCTTTTCCAGGTTTGTTACCTACATACTTTGTGAAGGAGTGTATTTTTTCTCTTGCTTCAGCGGTTGGGAAACCTTTACATTTGGATATGGCTACTATAAATAAGACTCGACCTAGCTGTGCGAGGGTAAAAGTTCTTGTCGATTTATTAGTTGAGCATCCTAAAAATGTAAGAATGGACATTGTTAATTAGGCAATAGGTGTAACAAGGACTGAATGGGTAAACATTAAGTATGATATGATTCCTAAGTACTGTAAGGAATGCAGATTACAAGGCCATGATTATTTTGAATGCTGGAAATCTCATCCGGAATTATCACCTTATCAAAGCAAGCAGAATGCTGAAAATAACAAGGAGCAGACTCAACTACATCATAATCAACCATTGATGATCTTATCAAGTAGGAGAGTTGTAGGTAATGTGAATCCACCTGGGGAACAATGGAAGGAAGTAAGAGACAATCAAGTGAAGAAGAATGGAAATCGTGTGGTTACATGGAAAGAAATTGTTCCTGTTGAACAAGCTAACGGGCAGCAACTGCTAGGATCTGGTAATCCTCAAAATAATGCTACTTCATCAAAGGAAATCATGACAGCTAATGATAATAACCAGCAGAACATTGGTAATGGAAGGAGGCCATTTTCTCAAGTTAATACAGCCAAACAACTTCAAACAACAAACAAATTTACAGCTCTACAAGCAAAACATGAAAGTACAGCAGGAAATCAATTTGCTATTGTTGAAGGAGCTGATATGCAGACCACACCTATTCAGAAACCCTTGGATTCAGATGCGGCAATTTATACTCCTATGTCTAATGAAGTGGCATCATCAAAGAGAGTTCATGTTGGGCATCCTAATGGGGAAAGGAATGAAACTAAGGAAGGTGCAGAAATAAGTAAGGAGAATACTTCTCAATGGGTAAATAAAACCTTCCCAATGCCTAGGTTACTACAAATCAGTCATGCCAAGAAACCCCCTCTCAATCACTAGATACAAGCATAATTGCTGAGCATGAAAGTCTTAAGGATCGTGTCAAATTTTCAGGAGGTATACTATGGCAGCAACAACATGAAAAGGAATCAGACGAAGGAGAGTTCCTAGAAGGACATGAGGACGTGGAAGATATACAAAACAAAAATCCAGATGTGGAACAACAAAGTGTCAATGGAAAAAATAGCAGAATTGAAGTTCAAAGAGCAGAAGAAAGTAATAATGCTAATACTACAGCTGACCAACCTTTCCAAACTGAACAACCTCTTAAAATCACAACACCACCATCCAATCCTAAACCAAATATCTCTGGCACTATTGAGACACATGAACCTACAGTCCAAACCGTTAAGCAGGGGATACAGATGATCCAGGAGATCCGGATAATAAAAAGGAAGAAGCAAGACAGCAGTAAATGGAAGAAACTCGGAAGAAAGTGGAATTAGAAATACAGCAGTTTTTAGGCAATACTAATGCAGGTGATGGGGCTACCTTAACTCAAATGCAAGAAGCAGTAACATACCCTAATCCATCAACTACAAAGGAAATGGTCACGATGAAAACCAGTGCTAAGAGTGTGGTTCCTAAAACTACCAGGAATCAGTTAATCAATCAAGAAAATTATGAAGAAGAGGACCAGACACAAAGGGCAAAAGGAAGAGATATGGATGCAAAATCTACTACACAGAACATCATAAATGTTGCTAGTCAAGGTGATATCTCACCTAGACAAATGGAGAAAGGTAAATCAGCAGGAACAGGGAAGAAAAAACAACCAAGAGAGAATACTAGGGTGCATATTCTAGCAGTCCAAACAAGGAAAACTCTATCCAAATCAATCAATTGATGATGAATGCTCTAATTTGGAATATAAGGTCAGTTAACACAATGCAGGCATTTGAAAGGGTAATAACATTGGATAGACATCATCAATTCGATTTTATTGCTTTGATGGAACCAATGCAACAGACTAGAACAGTTGAGCAATATTGAAGAAGGCTGGGTGTTGAGCAGGTGGTTGTGAATGTTTCAAACAAAGTATGGATCTTCATAGATCAAAAATATGATTTTGACATTATTTTTAACATGGAGCAGTAGATTACTTTAAAGATGACCAACACTGATGACCACACAGAGTTCATTATTACCATGGTCTATGCTAAATGTGATGCAAGAGAAAGAATTGAGTTGTGGGACACTTTGTATTCCTTGGCTACTGATATGGTTTTACCCTAGCTTGTCGGTGGAGATTTTAATGTGATATGGGATGAAGAAGAGAAATTTGGGGGCCTACCAGTTCATATAAATGAGATTGATGATTTTAGACATTGTATAACTACATGCAACCTTTTTGATCTTGGCTTCAAAGGAGGCATATTCACATGGTGGAATGGGAGAGCTGAGGAAGATTGCATATTCAAAAGGCTAGACAGATGTTTAGGCAACATGGAGCTTCAACAACTTTGGCCAGGCTTGGAGATAAATCACCTATCTAAGATTGGCTCAAACCACAGCCCAATGCATCTCACATATAATCCTAGTACTAGTCAGATCAAAAAAGCATTTAGATTCTTAAATTTCTGGATCAAACATGAGTCATTCTTGGATGTAGTTAAGGAGCATTGGCAGGCAGACTTCCATGCAAATCCTTTCATACTTTTTAACCACAAGATGAAGAAACTGAAGAAAGCTCTTTCTACATGGAGAAAGGCCACGTTTGGTGATATATTTCAAAGGATAGCCAGCTTGGAGGAAGTGGTGAAGGTACATGAGACACAATTTGAACTAAATCCAACTATACAAAATCGTGAAAGGCTCCAAAGGGTGCAGGCAAATCTTATTCGAGTGTGGGCTTTGGAAGAAGAATTTTGGAAACAAAAAGCAAGTATGGCTTGGTTCAAAGATGGAGATAGAAATACTAAATTATTTCATGCTCATGTTAATGGTAAAAGAAGGAAGCTACAACTGAAAAGAATACAAGACATGAATGAGAATTGGTCGGAAGATCCATCAGCTATTGCAGATGAAACTGTTCTTTTCTTCCAGCAGCAGTTTCATGAATCCACAATTCCTACTGACTTTAGGATATTGGATCATGTCTCAGTAATGTTAAATGAAGTGCAGAACTGTGAGCTTACAATATATCCAACAATTGAGGAAGTGAAGAAGGTTGTATTTGGTTTGAATGGGGATAGTGCAGGGGGACCTGATGGATTAAATGGTAATTTCTTTCATGCTTGTTGGGAAATCATTGGGGGAGACACAGTAGACATGGTGCAGGCTTTTTTCTGTGGGCAGGAACTACCCAAATTTGTTACTCATACAAATTTGGTCCTACTACCTAAGAAGAAGGATGTCCAGAACTTCTTGGATTTAAGGCCAATTAGCTTGAGTAATTTCTCTAACAAATCATATCGAGGGTTATTCATGAGAGGCTAGTGGATATAATTCCTAATATTGTATCTGATGAGCAAGCAGGGTTTGTAAAAGGTAGAAGTATTGCTGAGAATGTATTACTCACTCAAGAAATAATCACTGACATTAGATTGAGGACAAAGGCAGGCCCTAATGTAGTTCTAAAATTGGACATGATGAAGGCATATGATCGACTCTCCTGGATTTTTCTCACAAAGATCTTGAGGAAGATGGGATTCTCTGAATGCTTTATTGGATTGATTTTTGGGATTGTATCAAACAATTGGTATTCAATTCTAGTTAATGGCCAACCACATGGTTTTTTCAAGTCAACCAGAGGGGTGAAGCAGGGTGACCCTCTGTCACCTACACAGTTTATACTGGCTACAGAGGCAATATCAAGGGGTCTAAATGCTTTACATCATAATCTATACTTTTATGGATTCAGAATGCCGAAGTGGAGCCCTAAGATCAACCATCTTGCTTATGCAGATGATGCAATCATTTTCTCATCATCAGATGATACTTCTTTAAGATTGATTATGGAAGTTCTAAATGCTTACGAGGCAACACCTGGACAACTAATCAACAAGGCAAAATCTGCAGTTTATGTTCACCATTCTACAAGCGATGAAGTTGTTAGGAAGATTGAAGGAATAACTGGTATACAGAGAAAGGATTTCCCATTCATCTATCTGGGTTGTCGTATTTTTTACAAAAGGAGAAAAATGGAGTATTATGAAGATTTGATATCAAAAGTGCTGGATAAACTTCAAGCATGGAAAGGAAAACTATTATCTATCGGAGGAAGGGCAATACTAATCAGCAGTGTGTTGCAAACCATGCCAATTCACCTACTTTCTGCAGTAAATCCCCCGGCCTATGTTTTAAACAAACTAAATAAGTTATTTGTGAGATTCTACTGGAGCAATTCTATTGATGGTAGAGCTAGACATTGGGCATCTTGGGATACTTTATGCTCACCTAAACATGAAGGAGGAGTGGGATTTTGATCCTTAAATGATATTTCAAATGCTCTCTTTTGCAAGCTATAGTGGAACTTCATGACTAAGCCATCTTTATGGAGCTCTTTTACGAGTCAAAAATATTTGAAGAAGATGCATGCAACTGTTGTGCCTTGGAGAGGTGGATCACACGTTTGGAGAAAAATGTTGGAATGCAGAGACTCTACTGAACTTCTGATTTTCTGGAAACTAAAAATGGGATCTTCCCTATTTTGGTTTGACAATTGGACAGGCTTGGGGGGCCTTTACTTTGTAATACCCCCGGAGTTTATAGTTGATGAAACAATCCATAATGTGAATGATGTTGTTCTGGAAGGGCAGTGGGATGAACATAAAATCAGAGAAATATTGCCAGGTGACTTAGCTATGAACATTATGCACACTAGACAAGCTCCATCAATGAATGATGAACTGGACAAACCTATCTGGAGTTTGGAAACAAGAGGTCAATTCACGGTTAAGTCGGTTTGGGAATATTTGATGAGAAGGAAAGATCCAACTATTACATACGACAACATATGGGTTAAAGGATTGCCTTTTAAGATCTCATTTTTTATGTGGAAGTTGTGGAAAGGTAAGCTACCACTTAATTATGTAATTAGAAGGATGGGATACTGCATGCCATCTAAATGTTGGTGCTGTGTAATGCCAAAAGAAAAGACTTTAAGCCATGTTTTCTATCGATCACTCACAGCCTTAAAGGTTTGGTCTTACTTCTATTCTCATGTTGGATTATCTCTTGAGGGCTTAAACCTGCATCAGGCTATTGTGAAATGTTGGACAACAAAGGTAATTCCGAGACTCAAACCAATATTCCAAGCACTGCTAGGTATAATTGTGTGGGAACTATGGAAAATGAGGAATATCAACAAGCATGGTAAGGCAGTGTCAACCTATCGAGTGGTATACCAAGTCTGCAATACTATTCAATCTCTTATTAAACTAAGGAAGCCAGGCATTGATCGAGTACCATTCAGATGGCCTGATATACTTAGAATGATGGAGAACTACACTCCCAAACTGAAGTTCAACAAGGTTTTATGGGAACTCCCTATGACAAGTTGGACAAAAATTAACACTGATGGCCTCAAGAGGTAATCCAGGTAGGAGTTCAATTGGCTTTTGCTTGAGGAATGAGGAAGGAGATCTGCTCTATACGTGTGGAAAAGAAATTCAAGAGGTGACAAACACTCAAGCAGAAACAAGGGCAATTTTGGAGGCCCTGAAACATTGTTTGACTAATGAGATGAATAACATATGGGTAGAAACTGATTCTATGCTGCTCAAGAAGGTCATCACAAGGGAGTGGAAACCACCATGGGTTATTGAGGAGGAAGTGAAAGAGATAAGGAAGATGCTAATACTCTGTAATGGCAGGATAACACATATTTTTAGAGAGGGGAACAAGCTAGATGATCATTTGGCAAACTATGCTCTTGATCAAGGAGTTATAGAATGCCACTCTTTCAATCATCTGGATACACAAGGTAGAAGGCTAGTTAATGGAGACAAAATGCAATGTCCATTTCTGAGAGTAAAGGCTTCAAGGCAGTAGAAGGAGAGGTTAACACAAGGGCAAAGGGGATGATTTCAAATCCTAGGGGAGGAAAGGAAGTCGACAAATGTTATTTTACTAACCTTGGGTTCTTTTTTGCAGGAATCGATACTGTGCTCAAGCCATGTCAATTAATACGACTATGGGTGGTATTAGTACTTTGTGCTCAATCCCTTGAAGGAGGAAAGCTGACATGCATAAGCTTGAGGAAAATCAATTATTTGAAATGGCAATCCATTAAAGAAAAACAGAAAGCTAATAGGAAGAAATCATCAATGCAGCATCATAGTCGAGAACATGAAGTATCCAATAGTGGAGGGAACTCAACAACACACAAAGGATGGACACATGACATCGAGGTCAAATGTAGCAGAATCACTGATGAACCCAAGATCCATAATGCTGCAGAAGTGACCAGTAGGTGGATATCTTCAATATACATCAGGAAACAAAATGCATATGCAGGGAACCAGTTTTTACAGAAGGATACAAAGTGCAGCGCATGGTTCTAGCAGCAGGTTGTGTCTGGAAATAATGAAGCTTTATTAAAGTTCATCATAAAGAACTGTTCAAACGCAGCAACTTACATAAATCCAATGCACTCTCTCGACTGAAAGTGTGTTAAACAAAGGGAGGGGATCGAGGATAAGTACTCGATAGGAGTAAAAAGCTTACAAGCATGGTTGCACATGCCAAGAACATGGGGCGACAAAGGATCCATGAGAATTGGGACTTTAACTAAAGGAACATTGGGTAGTGTTTTCTGCACACCAAAAGTTTGGGAAAAAGCATGGGCCATTACAATTACCCATGGAGTATTTTCGAGATGCTGAAAATTTTGCACAGCAAGGAATCATTAGGAGCATCTCAAGCTAACGCACGCCTATGCAGAAATCATTTGTAATATGCTTTCTTTAATATCAAAAGGGCTTGGATGGAGCAAAAATGCTGCTCAAAGAGCTGAACAGTTCTTCAAGAGGGAATCAACATGGCAACCTTCGATGCAGGAAGAATTTGAGACACAATGGGGTAATATGCAGTCAATAATGGAACAAGACATACACTTTTATGGCAATCAAAGGTTCACACAAATACAAAATGAGTTACGCTATTATTGCGAGTGCAGCGACAGGTACAAGATGCAGTTAAGAAAATCTGGACTGAATACAGGACTTTGGATATATTTTTCATAAATTTAACAAAGTCGAAATACACCCTATCATGGGACGCTCACTATGCACGACTACATTTTAAACATTTGGCTAATGCTAGATCTAATGTAATATCAATGTTGACTTGCAAACTTAATATTGATAATATGTTTCATGTAACAGTCAAAGTTTATCTATATCATTATGTTAGACCCCCTGACAATGTATTTTATTTATGATTTTATTAGTTATAAAAATTAGCCCTAGGCGATTGCCTAGCGGATAAAAAAAAAAGAACTCAACATTCTGTCCAGAATTTCTGTGGTTACTATTCACGCATTTTACTGTTCATGGGTATTGTTCACAGTACTATATACGGGGTACTGTTCATATGTATTGTACATGGATACTATTCATATTTACTGTACATGTTACTGTACACGGATACTGTCCACGCAGGTGCGGTTACTGCTCACACGTGCGAAAAATGCAGAAACTGCCCAGAAAATTGCAGCAACTTTTCTTTTTACTAAAAAGGCTCTAACTCCATCATACGAACTTGGAATTCGATGATTCTTGTTCTTATGAGTCACAAATAATAATACGAACATAGCCCTTCAGTCGAAACTCAATTCGGAGCTCATTTGCTCAACTCAATACCCATTTCGCTCGTTAAACAATTAACTCATGTTTCGTGTCAAAAACCCAATCGCGACTTGATGAGATTAGACCAAACTTTCCAGATCAGTCCTATAATTCATTATCAAAATTCCGGAAGTCTCGAAATCAAATTTAGATCTCTAGAACTAAAAATGGACCTTTGGATCATTACATGCTTATGCTCAAAACGGCAAAAATCTTCCAAAAACTCTTCCAAAACATATCCGAGCCTCATGGGACCCCGACCAAACATGCCAACGCACCCCATAACATAATTCAAACTTGTTCCAACCTTCGGAACGCTCAAAACAACATCAAAACATCAAATCACCCTCGGATTCAAGCTTAAGAATTCCAAAACTTCCGAAATCTGAATTCGATCAAAAATCGACCCAACGACGTCCAAATGACCTGAAATTTTGCACACACATCACAAATGACATAACAAAGCTACAAAAACTCTCGAAATTCCATTCCGACCCTCGGATCAAAATCTCACCTATCAACCGGAATTCACCAAAATATTAACTTTGCCAATTCAAGCCAAATCCTTCCACTGACTTCCAAAATGCATTCTGATCGCGCTCCTAAATCATAAATCACCCAACGAAGCTATCCAAATCATAAAATTTTCGATCCGAGCTCATATACAAATAAGTCAAATCTTGGTCAAACCTTTCAAATTTCAAGCTTCAACTGAGAACTGTTCATTTAAATTCATTCTGATTAACCTGAAACCCAACACCAACGATTTACATAAGTCATAATACACCACAAGGGGAAAGCCATGCCCGAGAACTGGCGATCAAAGTGCAAAAGCACAAAACGACCGGTCGGATCGTTACACAAAATTAATTAAGTAACTTTTGTAGAAATAATTACAAATTCAGCGATCATTGAGAAATTAATTCTAGGGTGCATTATCTCTAAAATGTGCAGAAATTCAACATATCAATAACTGAATTATTTTGGAATTTATATTGTTTTGTCATAGCCCGGTGTGACTTCAAGGTAGGAGTTCGTAATTGATGTAAATTACCTGCTACAATATGTTTTCAGCAGCTTTTTTAAATCTTTTACTTAGCTCCCGTTTGGATATAAAATTAGGAAGCTATTTTTTTAAAATAAATTTTAAGATATTATTTGTTCATAGAATTTGATTAGTTTTTGAGAAAATTTTGAAGAAAAATTTAAAGTTCCAAAACACTACTAGAAATCCGGAAAAAAGCGACTAAAATTTGGCGAACAAAATTGATCTGTCAAGAAAAGCGGCCAAAGTTGGTCGCTAAATTGGAGAAAATAAATTAAATAATTATTTGAAATACATTAGCGACCAAGGTTGGTCGCTTTTTGGTCGATAATTTGGTCAAAATATTGATCGGACTGGTCACACTTGCTTGGTCAAAGAAATACTGAAATTAGCGACCAACTTTGGTCGCTAAAATGGGATCGACTTTTAAAATTTTAATAATTATATTATTATTTAAAAATAATTATAAAATATAAATAAATATAATTTAAAATTAGCGACCAAAGTTGGTCGCTTACAAAAGGGGAAGCAGATAGAGACCAACTTTGGTCGCTAATCTGGGACCCAGTTATAAAATTTTAATAATTATATTATTATTTAAAAAAATTATAAAATATAAATAAATATAATTCAAAGTTAGAGACCAAAGTTGGTCACTTACGAAAGGGGAAGCAGATAGAGACCAACTTTGGTCGCTAATCTGGGAACGAGTTCTAACGTTTAACAATTATATTATTATTTTAAATATTATAGAAAATATAAATAAATCTGATTTAAATTTAGCGACCAACTTTGGTCGCTAGTTTTAATTTATGAATAAATGCGACCAACTTTGGTCACTAATTTTAATTTCTGGATAATTAGCGATAAAAGTTGGTCTCTTTTCAGGTCAACATTGGTCAAAATTAAAAATCACTTTTGTATTTACTATCTAAATAATATAAATGTAATTCATTAACACTTTTGTAATACAAGGGATGAATACACTAAAATATGCTCTAATATGCTATATATGTAGTTAAATTAGTATTATATATACATAAATTGAATAATCGACTTATAACCTACTCAGATGCATCGTTGAATATTAAAAACAAAACGTCTCGACTTATATGAATTAATCTGTTATAATTGATTCATCGACTTATAACCTAGTGATGAATGAATGTAATTCATTAACTCTGTTACAATACAAATAATGAATACAGTATCATGTACTATAACATGTTGTATATGTAGTTAAAGTAGCACGAAGTGTGTGTGTGTGTTATATATATACACAACTAACATATACTATAACAAGTATATGTATGTTATAGTATTACAATGAAGTGTATGTGTGTGTGTATGTGTGTGCATGTCTATATATATATATATATATAAGAACATGAAGCGCTCGGAACATAGGGCTGAGTTTTTTTAGGTGTTGTTACACTTGTAAATTGATTCATCGACTTATAATCTACTCAGATGCATGTATATATA